TGCTTCTATCTCCTTTGTCAATATTTTCTTACTTTTAGATAAGAACTGTGATTCTTGTTCATTTTCTGTCATTCAATTGACCTGTAGTCAAGTTTTCATATATTTTGCTATGTCCTGATCAATCATAGGTACAAAAAAAGCTTGGGAAAATAATCAAAATATATAACACCTATACAAGCTAACTATATTCACTTACTATGTTCCAAGAAATATTGGCCAACTCTTTTCCTCAATAAATTCATTCAGTCCTTCCCACTCAGGTAGTTTCTATTAGTAGTCTTATTTTCTACATGAGAAAACTAGACAGGATAAGAAAGTTACCTAACATCACGTGGTTCACAAGTGCTGCAGGATGTTCAAGTTTATTAAAAAATATTACTTCCCCCATTGTCTTGAAAGTAGAAGTTACTTCTGATACTCCTCTTTTATCATTATTCACTCTTTTCTCTATATCTAGCACTTCAAAATGTTTACTGTTATTTATCCAATTTTGTCTTACCTGTATGTATTTCTGTGCATGACTGGGTTATGAGGACATGCATCTATAACTAAATATCTTATTGTCCTGATGCCTTATGCAATGACTGGCACGTTGCAGGCATACACACTTATTAAAACTGTGTAATAATGAAAACATCAAAGACATCTTCTGAAGGTTATGAAGTTCAAATGGATTTTTTTCCAGAGAAGAAAACTTAGTATTAAATATGTTTAATCAGGTTAAATGATTTAGCCCTATTCATTAAAGGGATTTCCTGTAGAAGTCAGTGAAAACAGGCTATTGAGCACACACACCACACAACTGAGAAAACACTGTATCATTATAACTGCATACCTCTCATTGGTTTCAATGATTTTGGTTTCCTGGTAGGTAAGTCATATTCCTCCTTTCAATCACATGAAGTTTGGTCTGGGACAATTGTGGACAGATCACAGATGTTTGAGGGGTCTCTTATTAGTCATGAGGGAAATAAATTTAATCCACAAAGAAAATCCCCAAAGAAGTCATTTTAAAACTTGCTATTGGGAATAGGCAACTAGGGTCTAAAATTGAAATTTGAAAAGTCAGAAACATTGGCTTGTTAATATCTTCTTAGCCTAGAAAAGACCTGTCTCCAACTTAGTTACACAGAAGTGCACAATTCTGATCACAAAGGAACATACGCAGGGTCATATAAAGGTATGTGTGGCAAGACTCACTCTGTGGAGGACTTGGGAGAATAAATGCGCATTACCTCATATCAACTTGGGGAAGTTCAAGGAAGACTGCTTCCTACATCATATTTATTTGCTTAGTTTTTTAAGCTGCTTATTGTGTTTTGATTGTGGTTCTAGTCTTTATCCTATATATCAACTTAATTCTGAGGTTAGATTAAGGTACAGAGCAAATAAGAGCCTGGGGCATCTTCAATATACAGTATCATCTAAAAATAGATTCCAAAGTAAACATGTGGTGTGACTGCTGATCAGAGGACCCAGGAGAGACCTCTAAGGTGACTCCTATTGCGAGGACTATAAGCGACCATCTGCTTAAAGTTCTTGCTTGATGGAAAACCACCAGAAGTCAGTAGACCTTCACTTCTCCCCTGCCATGTTTCTCTCCCCATTAAGTCATTTAAAACTCAATAAACCAAAGGCATCAAGAGTAGAATCACAGCATAAAGGAACAGAGGTTCAGCAGACTAAAGCACAAGCCTTCCCTAGCACTCCATGGGTCCCTTTTCACCAAGAACTTCTAAAGATTTTTTTCACCCTACTCTTCAATACCTATACTACTTCTTTCTGAAGTGAATTGCTGGCTGCCTTGGAATAGCAATTTAATACTTCTACAGAATGAAGCTATTTAAAAAAGTGTAGTCATTCCACTCTAAAGCTATTAAACCAACATATGTTTGCTTTCTTTGACCACATTTATTTGTGCACAGGTTAAATGGGTTTCTGCATTAGCTTCATTATTCATAACATTAACTTGATGTTTTGAATTTACATGTACTTTCTAAATAGGAGAGACAATGTACAGAAAATTAAATGGCTCCTTTTAACTCTATGGGGCTTGTCAGTAAAACAGAGGACAATTCTTGGTTGGTGTTCATGGGGAACTTTTTTTCAGGACAAAAAATGTAACTCTGATTGTGGGGGATCGATGTTGTTCACTATGGTGAAAATTATGACATTTTGGGGCTTTAGCATCTAAAGGTGTTACAAAGATGTGAAGACAAAGAACAAACAAAAACAGAAAGCTATCCAAAGATTCCTATTTAAAAGGTGGAATCATTTTAGGGTTTTCATTCTTGTGAACAGAAAACTATTATATAATAACTATCTTTCTCTACTTGTGGCATGTGTTTTATTGAACACATTCCTTTACTATAAAACAACTGAACTGTAGGCCTCTTGGAAATATAATAGTATGGCATTAAAGAGCTTTGCCCAGACAAAGAGATGTTGAAATAAAATACATTTTTTTTTTGCACGAAGAGCCTCAGATCCACTCTAGTCACACGTTGAAAAGAGCTTGAGAGTAAAAGTGATAACATACAAAGGCTTTAAGAATATGTAGCAACTGCCACCCTCTGCTAATACTTTCAACATAACTTAAGCATGTGAAATGCCATCTGCTTCACATACAAGACCAGTGACTAAGAAACTAACAAAAAGTTGTTGGCTAGAAAGCTCACTGTCCCAGGTGCTCATGGCTGAGCTACAGGTTTCCTCAGCAGGACAATAAACGCACCTCCACTAATGTGACTGTTCTCACAAACCTGTTTAGTTTAGGTTCTAACCTGCATGTTAACCACATGCCTGCAGAAACCTTTAAATATAAAGAGAATGGCCTTCTGTTAGAAACCATTAAAACATAATCTTTTCTTGCAAAATGACATACTGAAGGTACCATATTCACTGTCAAATCTGCTGTCACAAAATAATCTGGATATCCAATATAATAAATTGCTACTGAGCAATCACAACAAGACAGGCCACTGGGTATAAAAAGTTTCACTTTTTTAAAGCCCAACTTGCTCTTTCTGTTGAGTTTGCAGGAAGGAAAATTTAAAGACCTGACATAGGTTTAAATTTGCTATTAAATTTGCTATTCCAGCGCTGTTTATACAAACAATGCTGCAGAAGTATCATATCTAAACTAGGAAGGACTAATTCTAATTTCTGTTGTAATAAATAGGTTGACTATTTAAAACATTATTCTAATAAAAATTAATTGTCCCATCAAAAGAAAGATAATGGCTCTTTGTATTATGTAACCAACACTAAAACTTTAGAAGCTAGAGACTATACAGCTTCCTGACTCACTTAAGTTACGGCATCTTTAAAGAGCAAATGTACTTTTGGAACACTAGGGGCTTTCCTGGTCTTTAAAAATCATTGTGGGCAATGTTTCTATTGTTTAAGTATTTACTATGTTACGAATATGATGACAGGCATCTAGTTAAGTTCCAACTTTGAGAATTTCCTTTTTCTAGAAATCACAGCTATTAAACTACAACACAAGAGTTCAGTGCAAGTGGCAAGACACTTAAAAAATAACTGATGTACAATTTGCACTGAGTCATTTAAAGCTAACCACAAATATTAAAATAGGTTCTGTAATTGGAGCAAGTTACTGTAACACCGGGAAGGAAAGTGATTTCAAAACCATCTATTTGCATTTTGTGAACTGAAGTGACAAACAACCTTTAAAGAAAAAAAAAACATATATATATATATATATATATATATATATATATATATATTCTTCATATTCTATTTTAGTCTGGGAAAGTGGCCTGGCTTTGTCAGAAAGGAAAGACTAAGTTCATGAATGATTATGGCTAAATCAAACCTTCCTCACTCTAAAAGGAAAGTCTGGTTACAAGAGCCTGAAAGAGGATGTGTAGATTAGGAACGGAATCCAGAATTTTACTGTCTCATTTTTATAGACAATGAGTTTTCTTCCTTCTTAATTTCAGAATTTGATACAATCCTGTTTCCCTTCTTCCTTTTCCATCAGATACACAATCAGATAATGTTTCCATTCACATAGATTTGAAACGAAACTCATGCTGTGAGGGTTATTTTATTTTCTAGTAGCCAAGGGAGAGAGGTTGCTGCCAATATGATGTTAAGAGCATACAGAATAAAGGCTCAGTCCCGGGCAATGAAACAGACCACCTTTGTGCTTCTCTTGAGGAAGAAGAATGCAAGCCCATCACCAACTTTGGGACTTGATCAACAGTGGGGAGTCACAAAACTCTTTTCAACCAGTGCATTTTAAACCTCCACTAAAAATAACTTCTCTGTGCTGGGGCTTAAAGTCCCATCAGTGGCCAGTGATGAAGTACAGTACTTAATTGTTTCTGACTAGGGTCTCTGCATCAGCACCCTGAGAGTGCCTTCTAACTTTTAATCGCCTTGCATGTTCTCTAATGAGACCTGTTCACAGGTCAGGCACATGAAAATGCCTACCCCTAAGCTTCCTCAAGACCTTAAAGCAGGCCACTTCTTAAGTCCAGGAACTTGTGTGCAAGGTTTACTTCTTCCAGGATTAATCCTTTTCCTCTGCTTCTCCTACCTTAAACTCAGACACACTTGGAGGAGGTAAGTATGCTCTCTGGCTATTAAGCCAGCTCTAATATATATATATATACACTGGTGACAATTCCCTCCTTGTCTCTCCATTTCCTTAATTTTGGTCTGTTACTGCCTGTTATCTGTTTTCTCCTATTAGGGCTGGAGGGAAACATATTTTCTTTGAAACGCAAAGCTCTTGGTTCCCTTGCCAGTAGGAACACAGACTTTCCCTAAGGGCGAGGAGAACTAGAGAAGGGCTCTATTCTCCTGGAAGGATTTCAGAGCCCTAACCACAGAGGCACCCTTCAACTTAGGCGGGAGACGCAAAGAGCTGAAGTGTCTGTCCTTGGTCCTGACAGGTGACCTGCAGTAGGACCAACGTAGCCCTACCTACAGCGCCCGTTGGCTCAGGTCCCTCACGCTCCTGGACTCACCTGGTGCTGAGGACCAGCGCCGGCAGGAGAGGCAGCAAGTAGTGCGCTGGGCTGAATTTCATGCTGTCGCCTGCCGGGGTCCTCCTACCCTCGCTGCCTTTGCTCTCCCTCCTCCGGGTCCTGTGGCTCCTCTGTGCCCGGCTCTGTCCCCGGCCGGCGACGCGCCCTCTCCAGCAGCCGTACGGAAGGAAACGGACAAACGGACGGATGCCTCGTGAAGGCAGGCACTGAGAGCGGGGAGTATCTTCGGCAGTGATGTCACCAGCGAGGCGAGCCCTGCCCGGGATCGTTCGGCGCGCCGCTGCTCCCGAGCCTGGAGGGCGCGCTGTCACTCGCGCCGGAGGCGGCGCGGGGAGGGGGAGGGCTTCCCAGCGATGGCCCCGCGCTGGGGTCTCCGGGCTGCTACGGAAGGCGCTCCCCGCTCGCCCAGCTGCACACCCGCCGGGGGCTGACCATTTACTCCCTTTCTCCCGAGGATGGGGAAAGGGAGGGAGGGCAAGGGCGGGGCTGGGGTGGCGGACGAGGAGAGAAATCTAACCTTCCAGTAATTGAACCTGAGTACTAGGCAGGATGTGAGACAGAATTCACTGGGAGAGACTGTCAAGCTCCGACTCGCAAGCAGGTGTCTCTCACCTGATGACACGGTGTTTGGGAAAACGTCGCTCTGAAGAGTGTTTAAAATATTCTAATTAGAAATGCATAATGATTAGCCTGATGCAGAGTGAAGAGAAGCAGGAGTGAACAGTGTCCAGAAATGCATCTTGAGTCCATAATGCCACTGCCAGCTTTTTTAGTCCGTAAACGTAGATATAAATATAAAGAGGTTTCAGGACAGTTAAGACTCTGATTCTTCTGGGTTTTGAAGATTTCTGACCTTGTACAGATCTGGTGGCCCAAATTCACTCACCTGAAAGGGTCCTTTCATTCAGGGGAGGAAACATAACAGATATTCATCAAAATGCTAACAGTAATTAACTCAGAGTGGTGGTATCAGAAGGCAGAAGACTCCGTCATTTTGGTTTCTGTGTTTTTCATAGGTTCTATAATAAACATCTGATATTAAGCTTTATTTTGAAAAATTAGAAAATTTTTCAAAAACTAACACAAACTAATATTTCTGTAAAAGCAATTCTGAAAACAACAGCCAACTTCAACTGAGATGTTCACTTCCGGGATCCTTAATAACATGGTTTATTTTTCATATTGCAGTAGCATTTCCTGGTTGAATGTTTATAAGGTACTTCTTTATACATCAATACACTTGATCCTCACCAGAGACATCCTAGAGAAATATAAATTAATATTATCTCTAACATAGAAATGAGGTAACTGAAGGCCATGAAGATCTAGGCTGGATTTTTTTTTAAACAAAAAAACCTCATTCTTTTAAGTCTTAAGGAAACCCTACTGTTGCCTGGAACATTACATCCAGCACAAGTAGTCCAGTGATCAACACAAAGCTGATGTTCAATAACAGCTAGAGTGCACCAAAGACCCCATGAAGCAAAGGTCAAGTGGTCAACCCGAATTCCTATCCAGAGGGTTCAGGTCACAATCCATGTTTTCAGGGGCAAGACACTTATAGTACAATTTAGATGAAACATTCCCTTTAATCTAATTTTGAAACATAATTTGCAGGAAAAATATTTGTTATGAAGCTTTATTTTAAAGAGGATGCAAGTTTAAAGAATTAACTTTCTAATTTACTGATTCTTGCTTTGCTTTTAATGGGATTGAAGTTTAAGACGTTTATACAGAACACATATTGCTTTAAAACCCCAGACTACTAACACAGATGAGTAATAACTTTTGAAAACTGGGTACCAGTCCCTTGCGCAATAGGATTCACAATAGATGTAATCAGGCATATATAAAATCAACTCACATGTGAATACCATGTCATTTACAAGGAAATATTGCACTACACTCTGCTAAAACAGAATTCTGACTCCAAAGGAATACATGTACTTCAGTTTGCTCCTGCCAGAATTATCTAACCATAGATTTCCTGCTCAGTTGTAAAGTGAACATTTGAGTTGTATACTCAACAAAAACATATGACTACTTGGTAATAAAAAAATATACTAGGAAATAACGCTAATACTTGTGGAACACATGTTTGTTTAAATAACAAGTTTGAGTTCATTAACTTGTGGTCCTAATTATAGAAATCAAATGTAGTAGTTGTTTCCATTACTCTCCTCTTTTGCAGTTGAGGTGACAGATTCAGAATGGTTAAGTCACTTGCTCAAGGTCACTTGGTCACTTACTTAGTAGACAACATTCAAATTCAGGCTACACCACTTTATAATCTTTCTCCTGAGGGAATTTTTTTTAACACATCTATGTAAAAAAAAAAAAGACATTCTCTAGCCTATACTGTATTTTTTTATTAGCCATAAATCATAAAATAGATAACTGTAGATTGTCAACCAAGAAAGGCGAGCATCAGAATGCACTCTGTTTAGACTGTCTCACAGTTACGTTGTGCCTCTGTATTGGGGACCAATAAAGAACCACAAGGCTTGTTGGCCTTTGTAAATTTTCTGCAAGTAGGAAAAAAAAAGATATCTAACTTAGAAGAGCATGCAAGCATCAGGGAAGCAAATTTGGAAAGTGAGCCTAAGTGAGATTTTGGAAACTCCTGCAGATTTAGAGGACTGAGGTATTATATTCTGAACTCAAGTATAGATCTGCCACTCAGCAGAAGTCTTTTCTTCTTGGGAATTACAAGACCGTAAGGGTCTATCACCCATGGCATCCTGTCCACACTGACACAGGAAAATTCAAATCCAGAATTGACTATATGGCTTCAGAGAATTGGCATATGAATTTTAAAGATGCAGCCGCGTGGAGAGCAGTTTCACTGAGCTAAAACCACTTGTCCTAGGTTGAGTCCCAACACTCTGCTCAGCAAAAGTTGTCTGCAATAACTATACCCTAAGTCTGGATAAAGGACATCAAGAAAGTCAATTCAGTCACAGGAAGAGGCTGGTCTCCATAAAATGCTAGGACTGGGAGATATAAAAGTTATTTTTAAGCAGCTTTATTGAGATTTAATTCATATACCAAAAACATCACTAAAGTGTGTAATTCAGTGTTTAACACACCCAACAAGATTATGAAGTCAACACTATCTAACTCCAGAACATTTCTGTCTCTCCCAAAGAAACTCCATACCCACTGGTCACTCACTATACCTCTGCTTTTTTACTTTCTCCCAACCCTTGACAGCCTAATTACCATCTTTACAGATGTGCCTAATTCTTGACATTTCATACAAGTTGAATTCTATTATATGTGGTCTTATATTACTAGTTTCTTTCCTGCCTCAAGGTTTATCTGTGTTGCAGCATGTATCGGTACTTCATTCCTTTTAATTCCGTTGATAATATCCCATTGTAGGAATGCAGCACATTGTGTTTATCCGTTGATCACTAGGATCATTTCCATATTCTGGCTATTTGCATAATGCTTCTATGAACATTCATATGAAAGTTCCCATATGAACATCTGTTTCCGACTCCCTTGTGTATATACCTAGGAGAGGAATTGCTGGATTATATGATAACACTTTAATTTTTTTTGAAAAACTGCCAAACTTTCCTAGAATAGCTATACTATTGTTCATTCCTACCAGCAATACATGCATATGTTAATTTCTGTATAGCCTTGCCAACACTTGGTATTTTCAGGTTATTATTATAGTTTTTGTTGGGGATATAAAGTGGTATCTCATTGTGGTTTTGATTTGTATTTTTCTGATGATTTGTTATATTGAGCACATTTTTATGTGCCTCATATATAATTTCTAGAGATTTGTTTTTTTCAAATTATTTGCCCATTTTCATTGAGTTATTTGTGATTTCTGAATTGTAAAGGTTCTTTATACATTATGGATACAATTCTTTTATTAGATAGTTGATTTATAAATGTTTTATCCCAAAACATCTTTTCACTTTCTTGATAGTGTCATTTGTAGCAAAAAGTTTTTAGTTTTCATGAAGTCCATTTAATCTCCTCTGTGGAATTATCCTGCCATTTATTCTCCTTCACAGTACTGTTTTCATCATTTCTGTATTTCCTTTTCTACTCATATAGTAAACTCTGACATCCTCTAGAGTTTCACCTTTGGTGCTCCTCTTTTTAATTCTCTATTTGGGGGGCCTGGGTGGCTCATCAGCTGAGCATCTGACTCTTGATTTTGCCTCAGGTAGTGATCACATAGATAATGAATTTGAGCCTGCTGCAGAGCCTGCTTGGGACTCTCTCTCTCCCCTCTCTCTCTGTCCCTCCCCTGCTCACACTCGAAATCTCTCAAAATAAACAAACAAAAATTCTGTATTCCTCCCCAAGGTAAACATTTTTTTACGACTCTTACCATCTTCAATACTATTATGAATCTAAAAAATGTATCTCCATGATAGACTTCTTCCCTGAGAACTTACCTAGGTTTCCTCTGGGTACACCAAAGTCAATCACACTAAATTTTTGTTCCTCCCCTCTGTATATTTCCTCCTGCCTTCATCAACTCAGTCATAAGAGTTACAACCCTGGGGATCTTCCATTATTTTTCACCCTCCTTTCTCCTACATAGAGTCAATCACAAAGTCCTACAGAGTTCAATTCCTATGTATTTCTCTATAGCAATTACCTCACTCCAATACTGAACCTATATTAAATGCAGTCACCAGGTTCTATTTAGGGTTTATCATTTTGATTCTGAAGTGTGTTCCCTGATTTCAGGTGTATTTACCTCAAATTCACTGCCCCTATATGACCTTCCTTAGCTGCAAATTTCTTTAGTGCCTTAAAACTCCTAGGAAATTACATTCAATAATATTTTCAATACATGTCTTTTCTCTGTGCTTTAACTTCCATATTGTACTCCAAACAGATTAATAGATGTTTTCCTTGATATGACTTTATAATGTTTCATGTTATTCCTTTTTTCTTGAAGTGTTCTCTCAGTCACTTACTTGTCCCTTATTTTTATCATGGTAGACTCATCAAGGCCATCATTTCTTTCTAGAATACTTTCCCTGACCCATCAGTTGCCACAAACCTGGTGAGGTCTTCTGAGTCTGGGACATGTGCCGATTGCCTTCATACAGCACTTATTATTATTATTTTCCCATTATATGTTTTTGCTCTTCACTATACTATAAATATATTAATAATCAGAGGGATATTTATCACTTTATTCAGTACTAAGGAAGGTTAGGATAAAAATTAAATTTTTATGTATGTATATTCCAAGCTAATCAGTAATTTTTTTTCAGATATC